GCATAGCCAAATTCTGGTCAGCAGCTAAGACTAAAACTTACCCTTTGAACTGTCTGCTTATAAGCAAGGGCTGAACTGGAGAAGTTCTACAAAGATTAGCTCCTGAAGCACATTCAGGTTTTAAGACTGGACAGGGACAGGTCCCATCCTTGTACAAACTGGCTGATGCTGAGCATGTACAGAGTGATTCTCCTTCATGTGTTCCTCTAGCCAAGATTTGGTTTACACTACAGGAGAAGTATCTTCTTAATGACTTTGTGTTGGGTTTTTCATTTTTCCATTCCCCTGCTCCTGTTGGCAACTCTCTCTTCTCTTCTCTCACTTCCATAATTTCATCTTTTGACAACAAATGTAGTCTTCTGCACCATCAAAAGAACAGCCTGAAAGGTATTATCAGGACAGCAAGTTGCTTTTCCAATGAGGCTGTTTCTACGGAAACCACCGTTTCTAATTATGGTGGGCCTTTCTGACAGCTTATGCAAAATGACACATCACTCTGGAGGTGTGCATCATGCCACACACGTTCTTAGCATCTTCTCTGGTTAGCTGCTCAATTATTAGTGTCCGCAACAATTTTTTTGGAGGTTGTTGAAATGATGATGATGATATTTTGTACAAATATTTCATGAAAGAACCTTAGCTGAACATGTTTTCATCAAGTGGGAATACAGACCAAATGTGCTAGAAGATTCCAAATTCCAATAAAAAATACAGTAAATATGTCTAGTTCGCTTTAAATCCCATTGACTTCACTGCAGATTGCTTGGAAGTAAATGGGTGAAAGATTATATTCTGAAATCAAACTGATATGGTCATGAATTTCTTTGGCAAATCCATCCCACTGCATCAAAAAGGATCTTTCTGAGACGAAAAGCAGACACACAACCCAAGCAAATATAGAAATTTATTTTCCTTTGCAAGCCAGTCATTATTCTAGTCCTCATCCTGCCATTCATTTGGCTAGTCATTTTCTTGTAATCATTCTTACCTAAATCAGATATTAAAATGTATAAGCAATTACAAAATAAAGAAGATTAATTGCAAAAGCAATTATAATAGAGCAGCTGGGTGAACAATTACTGAATCTTGCATAATTAGATCAGTAGCTCACAGCTACCGCAAATAAATCAGATTTTCAGCCTCCAGCCCTTCTCTTCTGGATTGGGGCAATGGGTCCCAAGTTACAATAATTCTTCTGCATTTTGTAGTCTTCTGACTTTGGCAACTAATCAAGCCATAATTGGCTATTTACCTGACAAGCTGAGCAGATTATTCGGACTGCGTAGTACTACAATGGTTTCATTTATTATCATGTATGTGGAGGCGCATCTCCTGAGATATTTGGACGCATAATGAGGTGTTATTTATCAGGTCACAATTATCCGATCCTTTCAAATACTTCATCAGAACTACCTTTATATGAAAATGGTATAATGGGGGTCTGCAGTATATGCCAGTGGACTCCTCCAGGAGACCTCCTGGGTGCTCCAAGAGGCATTGTTAAAATTTTGCAAGCTTTTGTGTGCATATGCCCAAAGCTTGTCTAATCTCACCAAAAACATCATGAGATTTTGATGGCCTCACTTGAGATCTCAGGAGAGTTCATATAACTTTGCAAGGGTTCTGATTTCTGTGAACTTGCCTGAGATTTTGATGAACTCTTGGAAGATTTTGAGAGCCTTTCTTTTCAACACCCAAGGCTTTGTGTGTCAGGTTGCATAATGTCACTTGCAGCCAAAAAAAAGTCACTGATCTCTATTTGACAAAGCTGAAACTATGGCTTGTGAAACTTGGCTCATAAATCACACAGTAAACCACCATGTGGTTAGTTGATTTGCTTACTATGTGGTCTGTATCCAGCTATTGTGGCTTGTAAACATTTTATTAAGGCTTAGTGCAATAGGTGAATCTTCACACCATGGTTGATTTCTCCCATTATAGTTTAGGAAACCATAGTTTAGCAACCAAGTCAGGGACACAGAGATACTGCCAGAGTTAAAGAAAACAATAAATGGAATCCCTTTAACGTCAAAATACTTTCTTAGCATTGCAGTCTACTTTTTCTCTACTGTGGGCAGATCCTTTCAAATGGTGATAGTACAATGATGGAAACAATGATTTATATGAAAGTGATTTGGATAGAAAGAAGACCACCTGACCTACCTGTTTTTCATTACAATCCTACATTGCTAATACAGCATAGGAAGCTGCGTGTAAGACATTTTAAAATGGATATTCCTATTTTTTTAATGACATAAGGGATCCAGCATCTGCTTTAACAGATATGGATTGAACATTTCTGCATTGGATGGTGGCGCTTGTGTGGAAAGGAACAACCAAGAAGAATATGGTTTATTTATCCTCATGACTTTGTAATAGCTAGAGATCTTCAAAGAATAAAGTATTTTATCCTTTTTGTTCCAGACAGGTTTCATGAATTTTCTGTTGTCTGAGCCATGTAAACATACATGAAGAGGAATGAAAGTTCCAAAATGGCTCATTTTAATTTCAAACTGATCAAAACAATCAAGTGAGGAACAATGAAAATGACCTCCAGACCTCACATCATACAAGGTTCCATTAATGTTGCAGGAGCTGTCCATTTTATTGGAGGCAAATCAATATCCCCTACAGAGAAGATTTTCTCAAGCATCAGAAACCTATGTATTATTTTTTGGTTCCAAAAAGGGGGGATAAAATCAAGGGAGCTTTTGATAGATCAGAGAAGTTTTAAAATCCCTTTGATTAGATATTCTTTCATGTCTTCTAGCTACCTTGCTATAGTTGAATGGTGATAAAAAATGTTCTCTTCCTGATCGAAACCAAGCATTTTTGCTCATTCACAAACGGCTAATTTCTTATTCCCTGTTCACTTGTATGATCATACAATTGAGAAAAATGGTGCTTAGACTGTTCTTGTGAAGGGGAACAGTTGGAATCCCCCCTTACAACTAGAAGAATTACCTAAATTATGGGTTTGTTCTTCTCTGCCATTGCCAAATAGTTCTGGGGGGAAAAAACATTAAACAAATATGCTTTGATGGCTTAAGAACAAGGGTGCAATATTTTAGTAAAGCATTTAAATAAATAATTAATCCCCCACCCCACCCAGGGAGCAGGAAGTGATGGAAAGTGTGTGAACAGGAAATGACTGATTAAGTACCATGAAGAAGAAGGGAGAATCAGAAAGCTACTCATTTAAATGATGGGTGCAGAAGGGAGGGAGAGAGTTGCTGCATAGACAATGGGATCTTTGACTAAGAGATTTATTGAGTGATTATGTACCATCAACTCAGTGTCAACTCTTAGCAACCACATAGATAGATTTGCTCCATGACAATCTGTACCTAACCTTGTCCTTCAGGTCTTCCAACAGCGCACCCATTATTGCTGCAACTGAGTCCATCCACCTTGCTGCTGGTTGCCCTTTTCTTTCATTCCATTGACTTAGAGATGGCAGGATTTAACCAGGAAAACAGCACCGTGTCATGGACAACCACCCTCTAAATTTTGGTTCCAGTTTTTGGCAGAGAAGTAGGATTCCGGTAGTGCTTAATGGACCAAGAATGGAAGTCCCATGGCTTTGGTTTTGACAAGAATACTAATAATAGAAGGACAGGCTTCTGTTAAGAAAGCTTGGTTCACATTACAGAACTTAGGAGTTGCTTTAAGAAGCAGCTGTACTGGGAAATAATTGGGTTATGGACGAGAAAGTTGAAACTCAAGAAGATGCTAAAGTGATCCAGAAAGGGATAGATCAGGAATGGGGGTGAAATAGCACAGGGACAGCCACTGTTGCTGCAATTTCCTTTCCTTGAAGTCCATGGAAGTGATGTCCCCAGAGTCATAGAACTTTTGGTTTCTTCATTTGGGGGAAAATGAAACTCTGCGTGTATATATGGGGACAATGAATGTTACTACAATAGGTACTTTGAGTCTATCAATAGAAAAGACAAAGCTATTCCAGGCATGGAAATGGGAGCAGGAAACAGCAAGATGGGCTGAAGCAAATGTTCTGCGTGTGTCATGATTTCCAGGTAAAGTTCCTAATCATGCCACAATAAATATTCAAGATAGAGTGCAATGAAGTGGCTTCAAAGGAAATGTCCCAGACAGAGCCATATCTTTGTTGTGTCTCCATTTTTAAAACAGTGACACCAACAGGATTAAAATGGCCACCTCCAGAATACCTTTGCCCTCTGCAGAAATTCTGGCACTGTCACATTGTCTGCAACCCAGAATGCAACGCCCAGTAATTTGCAATGTGATTTACTTAACATTTCTCATGTCCGAGCTCAGCCTTCCATGTTCCATATATATCTTCTAAGGGCTCAGCCAATCTTGGCAGCTTCATTTGAAATGTATGGGACATTATGAGGTACAGAGTGAGTTTTCTTCAAATGCTCATTTAGAGACTTGCACTGCAGATAACTCATTCTATTTGAAAATAGGAAGAGAGTAGGAGTGATGCGTTCTCAGTTGACCAGAGCAAAATGCTTTCAGTTTTGTGCAAACGATGATTTCTGTACAGCACCTGGACTGTTTTCTATGAGGCCTACTACCAGTGTTAGCCCCAATCCATCATTGCTAACTCAAAAACTGAATAGGCTTCATGGAAATGCAGGTTGGGAAGCCCAATTTGATTCAATATTTCTACCTGGAGCCATTTCAAATCTTTGAAAAATGGTCCTTTGTACAAAGCCTTAGAAATAGCAGCATAGAATTTACTGGCTTCTTGTATTCCCAGCTTGGTGAATTGTTTTCCTATCTATTATTTATCTCCTATAAACAGTTTTGCATGAGTCCCTATTACCTCTTAAATGTCAAAAGCAAGAAAGAAGTTGTCCCTTGACATACATCCCAGAGTATGATTCCAGATAAAAATTAATTCTAGGAGAACATCATTAATCCACCTTCCTTTCCTCCCGGGTCTCTGAACACAGCAATTTCCATAGGCCAGCAATTGCCTTGTTTAAGGGAGTTCATTGCATCTTTAACAGGTTATCGGTGAGCAGCTGCTCCACTTCTATGGGAGTGAACAATAATGGAGCTGATACCTATTTTCATTCCACAAACCACGCTGAGCAAACTTTCCGCAAAATGGAGAATTACCTGCAGCAGAAACAGCTCTGTGATGTTCTTCTCATTGCTGGAGACCACAAGATTCCCGCTCACAGGTACATATTTAGCCCATTCTTTCTATATCCCAGAGAAAACCTCTGTCTGCCTGGGTAATATGGAATTAAGACTGCCATACACATTTTGGAAATGAATGAGAGACTGCAATCTTATAAGATCTGATTATGGTTGCATCCTCTGTTAGATTTTGACATCTTGAGCATGATCCACAAGAATAAAAATATTGCAACCTATGTAATTAATGCATATTTTTATGGTTTCTATTTATCTGTACAGTCATGCACCCCAATTAGCCATGGGAGGGGAGAGCATTGTATTAGCCTATTCTCAAGCTACTGGAAATCATTTTTGGTAACAACTGTGTACAGTGATACCTCGGGATACGAACTTAATCCGTTCCGTGACTCTGGGCGTATCCC